AAATTCAACATCATAATGTAAATTATACAATTTGAAGCTACGTATATTTTTTTATTTCTTGAAAGATTGCAAAAATATATTAGACGCAAAATTATGCAATGCTTAAAAATATGCGTTTAAAATAACAATACCGTGTAAAAGAAACAGTGATCGTAGTGCTAAAAACAATAATGAATGTCTGCCAAAATCCAATGGGATTAACTACATCGCAAAAAATAAAACTTATTGCTAACCTAAAAGATAAACATGTTCTTAAATCTGATATATGATAAGTTATAGTACAATATAGCTTTGAAACGCAGAAAGAATACGTTAAGATTTATTAATATATAACTACTAATATGCGATATTCTATTTTCGTTTCACTTATGTAAAAATATCTAATTACTTATTTTAAAAAATAAAATATAATTTTAAGAAAATTGCAATACAACAAATTTTGCTATTATCGTAAAAATTACTTTTGTAATGATTCAGCTATGCAATATAATTATATTTAATTTTATTGTTTATTTTATTCTCTATTGTAATTATGTATACATGAAAATTAAAAAAACAATGTAATGTCGTACTCACCACTTGTACGAGTTTAATAATACCGGGTATCGTCATGAAGTAGGGCACGTTCAATTTAATGTCTGCTAGAGGGCTAGGTTGAACCGGTTCTGTCTTCACGGTAGGCACCTGTCGAGGATTGTTGCTGGGATTGTTGCTGGAACCGTCCATCGTCACAACGGTCTCCGACATCATTACGATTATTTACAATTACTTTTTTCTTCGCGGTATACCACGAGCTTTATTAATTTGAAATATATTTGACAATAAAAAAAATATTAATGTGAACACTACTAAGAAATAAAGAAAACCGGAATCGCAGTGTCAAATCTAAAACACCTGTTGTCGGATCACTACGGCCCTCACGGAGGCCTCACTACTGAATACCAACTAACTCATGTATAAGCCAGCGACCCGCTATTCCCCTACCCACTATTCTATTTTCCCCCACTTTTATACCATTCCGTCTTTAACTTGTCAACGAAGTTGAATTCAATCGCCATGTTTTATGTTTTCCGGTCTTTTCTTCATGATCATATCAAGCGATATATATATGTTTCATTAAATTTTATATATAATTTCCTAAAAATAATTTTTTTTATATTTTTTTCAATTTTCTTTTTAATTTAATTTATTTTATTTTAATTTCTTATTTAGAATTATAAAAGTTTAGAATTATAAAGTTGCGATATGAAATTGCATTATATAAAATATATATAAATAAATATTATAATAATATTATAAGTAAATATTATATATAGAAATCTATTTAATAATCATATACAATAATTTTTGCATTAGCATTATATATATTTAGTTGATAAAATTTTAAAATATTTTAATATTAACGAATCTTGTTTTAAAAACGAAATAGTTAAAATTTAATCAATAATTGTTTATATATTTATGAATATTCTACTAATATCGAAAAGTAAAAAAAATTATTTAAATTTTATTTTATTTAGATTGATTATATTGATTAATTTTATGATGAATTTTTAAATTGTAGCACTTTTACATGGTTATAAGAGAATATGAAGATGATTGGTAAGGAAAAATGGAAAGGGTAATACGTAATGGCATGAAGATAAAGCAATCCAATCACTTATTTGTAATGTCACGTTATATATAATGACTTAAACCAATCAATATATGGCATTATCAGAATTGATGTTAACATGATCCAATAGTAAAGTTGTTTTGTTCATCACTTGTAGTTTATCAATGATACTTTAAGTACTGTCGTGACGTGTACCTTCGTTGACGTATACATAAAGTAGTGCAACATCATAATAAAATCAAAATAAAATTAAAATAAAAATTACTTGTAATACAAGCATCACATATTATCAGTTGTTTTTTAAAGGTAAAATATCTAAACATTTCTATATATAAACATTCATGCAAGAATTCTTAAATAACAACATCATGTCGATATATGTATTATATTATTTATAATATTTTTGTTGTTATTGTTGTTGTAACAAATAATTTAGTTTTCTATTATCTTATATTCTTCAATTAATTATAAAAAATTGTTTTTATTTGTTAAAATATATTATATGTTGGTATATTTATTTCTAGAAAAATTTATACAAAATGTCTTTATATCCAACGCTTGAGGACATGAAAGTAGATCATATGATAAAGGTAAGATAGATTCTTAATTAGAGAAAATTATTTACATAGTATTTATGTGATATTATACTTATATAATTTGTTATTTTTATAGGCTCAACTACAAAAAGAATCACAATATAATGTTCCACCTATATCACATGAACAAACTGGTCCATCTGCACCTGTTTATAATTCTCTTTCTACTGCACTGTATCCTTCATTAGGAAAATATATGGATTTGGAATTTACTGAAGAAATGATAGCACAAAACATGCCTGAATATTCTCTTGTAAATCGTACTATAAATATACATAATATAATTTATATTATAGAAACTACATTTTAGAAATCTACATTTCAGATGACAGTAAATAATTCTACAACTTCAGGTCCTTTAGCAGGCATAATTGCACCTTTGTCTGGACAATCTTTAGGATTACAGAGAGCACAAGTTACAAATGGAATAAGAGAAGTATGAAATAACAGATCATTTATGTTTATATGTACCTATATATGCATTTAATATATATATTAATATCAAATTGATATAATATAAATAATTATCATATATGCTAAAAAAGCATAGTTTTTGCCAAAATAATTTCTGATTTTATCATTTTAGTTGATACTATGCAAAGATAAAGATGGTAAAATTGGTTTAAGAGTGCATGCTGTAAATAACGGCATCTTTGTATGCCTAGTAAGTCAAAATTCGCCTGCTGCACTTGCTGGATTACGATTTGGAGATCAAATTTTGAGCATCAATGATGTTTTTGTTGCTGGATATACAATGGAACAAGTACATAAAATGTTACGAAATGCTGATATTAATGGTATTAAAGTAATAGTAAGAGATAGGTTAGTTAATATTGATTATATAATATATAATTTCAATATTTTTTATTTAACCAACTTTATTTAACCAATTTTATTGGTTTTAGGCCATTTGAACGCACAGTGACAATGCACAAAGATAGTACAGGACATATTGGATTTCAATTTAAAAATGGAAAAATAATTGCATTAGTAAAAGATTCTTCAGCTGCTAGAAATGGACTTTTAACAGATCATCAAATATTGGAAGTTAATGGAAAGGTTTGTGGCATGTATAAGATTTACATGCTTAATTCAAATTTCAATAAATTTGAAAAGTATCTTTTTTTTTTTTTAGAATGTTATAGGTTTAATGGATAAAGAAATAACGGCAGAAATTGAAAATGGTGGAAATATAATCACAATAACGATTATTCCATCGTATATTTATGATCATATGATTAAAAAGTATGTATCCATTAATATAGAATATTATGAGTAATATATCATATTGCGAATTTTTTATCACAATTATTTTTTTTAGAATGAACAACAGTTTATTGAAAACTTTAATGGATCATTCTGTGCCAGATGTTTAAGATAAAGATCAGGTATAGTACTGCGTTTATATTTACAGTATTGATAAACATTTTAATTAATATCTTTATAATAGTTGTTTTAATTTTTTAACTAAAAAAATTATAAAAAAAAATAGTTGAAATTTCTCATAGATATACGCATTTAAATTGTTTTTTACATTTTCATCATATTAACACATAATAAATATCTAATGTTTTATTAATTGTGTTATTTATAATATATATAATAATTATTTATTATTACTTAATATAAGTAAGATATTTTTGTTATATAAAAATATAATATTAATATTTATCCTTTTAAA